GAGCCATGGCTTACATGGAAATGTTGTCCCAAGTAATTGAATAATCTCTTCTAAAGAGAGTCTGAATTATATTTTTTCTTGTCCCCACACTCTTATTGTTTCAAATGTAAAATAAGATGTTGTCATCTTCCAGGCATTCAAAAAAAACAACAAGAAAAACCCATCAACATTACAAAGAAATAAATATTGGGATGGTACCAGGCTGAGCTGCTGGCAGTCAGTGTGATGGGTGTGTTTCTGGAAGGGAAAGAAATAGGCCAGCTTTTTCTCCACATAACCACAGTCATTGTCTATCATAAGAGCCTAATTGATTGATAAACTGTTAGAAACATTTCTTTTCTTCTTTTTAGTAAAAGCTGTGATCTGCTACCAATTTGTCAGCTTGTTCTTTTAGCTCCCCCCTTAAAAACAAACAAACAGAAAACCCCGTTTTTATAATTGAGATTCCCCATGAGAGCCGGCCATTGTTTTCAAGCTTTCAACAAAAAGTTAAGATTAATGGTGTACATTCCCAGATGTTACTCTTTCTAAGTTCATTTATCCCAGAATAAAGATACTTGTTTCTAAAAATACATGGTAGAAAGCTGTCTCATAAAACAGCATCAAAGCTTGCTTGGTTTTGTTGGTATTTAATTTTTCATTACTCTATCAAAGTTTTGCCCACAGATCTCTCTGTAATCATTCAGATTTGCAACAAGCCATTCTTTCAGTAACATTTTCATTAGACTTACACTAGTCTTCCTTTGGGGGCTTGTTTTCATTTACCACACTTGTATTTTCCATCCTGAATCATAGCGGCCATTTAAAAACTGATGGTGAAGTTAGCTACTTCGCTCTTTTACACAGCATGGCGCTGTTTTGCCGCAAAGCATAAATCTTCCATCAGTAGCATCTCACATCACCAGGAATTGCAAAGCGTTTATTTCTTCCAAATGGCACTGATGGCAAGTTTATTATTTTGTCATTGGTGCTATTCATTACAAATTTACTAGAAACTTCACAAATTTGCCATTAGCTGAAATAATTCTTAGAAATGCAATGCAGAGCAATTAGGAGATGCAATGCGGGGCAATTAGGGTCTTTATTCTTCCCAGAGTAATCAGAAATTCCCTGAAAAGCCTAAATATCATCTGTTTTCAAGGAGGTATTTCATCAGAGTGTTGTACTGAGCATCTCAGACTCAGACTCAAGTTAAAGAGCCCCCAGAACTATTTCCCCCCAGCTGTTTGCAAAATTTGTGCAATTATTTATACAGCGTGCTGTTTTTTCCTCAAAGAGAAATTCCTCAGGACTCTATTTTTAACAACAGTGAAATACCAGCAGGCCAGCTTTTGAGAACATCCCTATGAGAGCAAAACACTCTAGTCACTGTTACAGTTGCAAATGCCTCTGACTCCCAGGCATGTCTGGGACAAGTGCTGGGAGAGATTGAGGATGGGCAAAATTCCTGTCCCAGGGCATGAAAAATTCCATACGATGGTATAAGAGAACATCCAAATAATTGCTGGGGGGGGGGGCAAAACTGCTTGTCAGAGTCCTGGATAATGATCCTAGCAATGATCTTCTGGGCACCTGGTAGAGGTCTAGTGAGGTCATCAGGGGCCTCCCACTGACTTCAGAGCAAGTTGGAAATAACTGTAGGTGGGGTTGGGAGCTCTTTGCATCCTTTTTTCCTCATGTTTCTGTATTAGGAGGCTCTGGGATTTAAAGAGAAGACTAGAATTAAGAAAGCAGATTTATTGGCTAAATGTTGTTGTCCTTATCTAGTTTAAAAAGCCAATTCAGTATGAAATGAGCCAGGACTGAATAAGAACTGTGAGCCTTATCATTAAAGATGTTAATGTGGGGGGGGTTTTAATAGTGAAAGTGCTGTGAAATATAAGACCTTGGCAAGTGGACCAACGTTCATATAATCAAGTTGTTGGATTTTTTTTTCCTGTACCAGTTTTGATAAGATTGAACTGTAACTAAGAAATATTTTAATGGTTGGCAGAATCTCTGTAGGAAGCTACAAAACCATATATTTCCTTTACTGTCTTGGCATTTCCACCCTAAGGTTGAAAAGATTATTTGAGAACTTCTGAAGCAACAAAGAATGAAAAAATAATCTGAATTGCCTGTGGTCGTCTTCTTACCTTTTATTCCTATTAGTAACAAGGGAAAAATATCCTTACTTTGGTCCTTAATAATAGCAGTTATGAACCAGAAGCTTGGTTCCAAACTGTTTGCAAATTTTAAGACAAGTCTCATGCAGATCAGCAGGATGGTACTGACAGAGTCTTACTCAGAGAGGTACGAGCTTTTCCCAGTTGTGTTGTGAGATTTTGAAAGGGGAAAGAAGGAAGATGGAGGTTCAGTGCTGTGATTCAGCAAGTGTCCAGATATAAATGCAGTATTTCTGACGTGAGTGTGAATAAAGACCATGTGGAGTATGTCAGAATGACATTCACACATAAGCAAAATTTCCTGGTTTCAGGCTCACAATCCCAGTTTACGCAGGATCCCCAAAACTGCCCAGTTTCAGGTGGATGTAGGTCAGATTTCAAGTTTGCCTGGATTCTCAGAAGGGACTTGTGATTTCACATTGAAATTGCACAAAACTCTGTGGCTGCTTTCTTAAAGGTCCAACCCAGAAAACAAAGAAAATGTATTCTTGTTTCCAGAGTTTTGTTCTAACTTTAAGTTTCAGTCAATCTCAAATTCAGAATGTCTAATTTATACAAATAGCGGATGATCTCAGATGAACCAAAATCACTAAGTATTATATAATGTACAACTTTGCATATTCATTTCATGGGAATGTATGTCATAACACCAACATTATTTTTAAACATGACCCCCAAACCATCTTTTATACGAGCGCATTCCTTGGGATTTGATGGATTGTACTTAAAAACAAAAACAAAAAGCTGCACCAAATCCTTTCAGTCATCCTTAGCTTTTGAAAGCAGTATGATGCGTTAATGATTACAGTGAAAATATATGGGTACAAATAACTACTGAAAACTGCCAGCAACAAAAAAGTGGGTAAATTCCAAAATACTATTTATAAAGAAATGTGCTTGGGGAAAAAAAACCCTGTGTTGTCCGTATTTACAAGCCTTTTTATTCCTGTCTCAAAAACATGCAAGTGAGTGTTACAATTTGTTTTTGCAAGAACATTTGCAAAAAATTAAGTTTTTAGAAATGTTAAAAGAAATGCATTTGCATGAATGCTACTAACAGAAATATCTGTAAAAATACACATTTCTTTGGTTTTCTTATGTCCCCCTGCTTATGAAATTCTGATGAAGACTAAAAATATAATTTGCTTAATAAGAATCAGCAATGTGGTCTATATTTAGAACTGTGGGACCTGGGATCAGTGCCCGGCTCAGATACTGAGCCGCCGCCTTTCCATGGACAAGGGACTTCACTGTTCTCCATCTATGCATCTGCTTTTGCTCTTTTGTCCCTCTTTCACATCTAGACTGTAACATGTTCAAAACAGGAACAGAACATGCATCAGCACCTCCATGGGGATGGCACAGTGCCCAACACAGTGGGTTGCCAGTTTAAGCAGGGATCATAATGCATCCAGCAGTAATAAATGCTCCGTTGCAAGTTTAACGTGTGACTTCGATCTTACTTTGCATCCAAACACAATGCATGATGCCGAGGTGGATTGTCTAGGCTAAAAGAAGTTATCAGACCTTGAGCTTGTCTTCCAAGATGCAATACAGCAGTATGAGGTGTTCTTACCCCCTAAACAGAGCAAGTTTTGGGAAAAAAGATTGTGGCCCTCTTAAGGATGCTTTTCTGTCTGGCTGTTCAGTCAGCTGCCTCCTTCACATCTGGAGACCTCAGTATCGAGCATCAATCGAGTATCGGTCCTGTCTCTACACTTGAGATTATGCCCCATAACTGGTCTCTTCCACCATGCTGAATTTATCTAATACTTTCATCCCAATAGATAACTGCCCATACACCACCCCTTCGGTTTCAGTGCAGAACCAACTGCAGTCCCCAGGAGGTTTTGTTGCATGGACTGGGCGTCAATATGCATTCTCCAAAATACAGGCAACGAGATAGTTGTACTGCTTCTGTTTCCACCAATTCAGCCATCTCTGCCCACCTCAGCAGCTAGTGCTTGGTGTCGGACTGAAAGTACACACTGTTTTAGAGGAGAAAATTTCAGTCTAACTTTGGGGGCTAGGTGTGGAGGAGTGGTATATTAGAGTCTCCTACGACACTGGAGGGTAGAAGCAACAACTTTTTACCTGGGGGAAAACACTGTGAAGGGTATAGTAAAACGTCTTCTGAGGCAGGTATATATTATGCAGAAAGATTTTTTATACTTTTAAAATGGCAAGCTTTGAGAGCTATGAGGATTGTTATTCAACGGACATAAATCAGCATAGCTCATGATGTTTACTGTTTCCATTGCAAACAACTCAGTCATGGCTGTAGGCATGAAACTGTTTCTTCTTCCAAAGTGACACTTAATGCAGCTGTCTGTAGCCCGTCAGTGAGAAACGGACAGTTGTGCATAGCGTTTGTTATGAAGTGTGTATTTCATTAGAGCTGTGGTCAAAGAATTGTTTTGGTTTTGGATGGAATAAATAGCTGCAAGTGCTGAGGGAGTTCAGCAGTGCAGAAACCCAGTCCTGTCCCATCACAAGCCCCAAAATCTCACTAGATTTTTGCAAAGGAGGCAAAAAGCAAAGATTTATCATTATGCCAAACAGCTCCAGCAAAGTCCTCTCTCTTAGCAGTAGGACTGGAAAGAAGGCTCAGGAAGCAGAAACATTTAGAGGAACATCTATAATACATGGCCAGCTCTGAATAAAAAGAAACAGCAACAAAATGTAAACATTAGATGCCATCAGGTAACTTGATGTAGGCGTGGGATAACAGGTGAAAGAGGGGTAAGTTCTCAGGGAATGCCTCCTGCCACCAAGCCAGCCTCCCCCCATCCTCCAGCGCACATGTTTCCCCATCCCTCATCCTTTCTGGAATACCTTTCTTCCAGCCTCATTGTTGTGCAAGTTCATCAGCCTCCGTGCATTCTTTTTGATTTCTCGGGCATCAACAAACCTCCGGGAGAACTCAATGCCGTATCTGATATCCGCAGAGCAGCCTCCCCACTTCCAGCCCTCCTCCTGGTTGTAGTAGCCCTGTTTCTCTCGGTCACAGCCACAATTGCTGAGGTTGCCCTGGCTGCAGGCGGCCGTGACAGCGTGTGCAACCCCGGCAGCAGTAATGGCATAGGTGAACGCAGCTTCCCTGCTTCCTGTGGAGAGAAGCCAAAAGCTGATGGGTTGGCAGAAAGGCAGCACTTACTAAAGAAAGTACACACATTATCTACAGCAACGGTGTCGGGCAGGAATGTGAGGAGGGCATTACTTCTGGTGGGTAATTCTCATTCTTACAGAATTACATACATATTTAAAATACTTGGCTCAACTGGGGCATATTACCCCAGGTAAGCACCAGCCATATGACAGTCCCACCTAACCTCCTTCACCAGAGGGGATTTTGGCAATGAGTCTGGACAGTGGGGAGGAGAGGCAACATGATTTGTTTTAACACTGTCTAGTCAGGTTTGCAAGCTAAAATTTATCTATATCAGATGAATAATTGAGTCACTGGTGGCAATGCTCACTGGAACACAATAGTTACCTCTAACTGTAGGCACTGCATGGAAAAAGAAAGGTGTTCAGACAACGTAAGGAATACCAGACCCTTTCAGATATGCAAGAGGGCCAGAACACAAATAGGAAAGATTATTAAATCACTTTTATAAATACTCCAGTAGGGCCCATTAGTGATGCTGAGTGTAAAGTATTGCAGGAGACACCTATAGAGACGAGCTGGGTAGGTTTTGTTTTCTTTCAAGGTAAAGTAGAGGCTACCCCTTTCCCTTGCTGACTTCTCTTGAATATTAGTTTTGCTGTAACGACCCTTTTCCACTCCCACTCTGACTCAAACCTCTGCTCTACCTTGGCTATTGAGCATATAGGGGGTATGGAAGTGCTGTGGCAACATTATTTCCTCTCCAAAACAAGTGAGCTACTGTCATGGAAGCACAGTCTTGTTTAGAAAAAAGTCTTTTTAGAAAAGAAATGGGGCTTGTTTTTTCCTATGATGCCACCAGTTGCCAAGGTTCCTCATTCCCAATTCCATGTTACAGTTGTTATTAAGTACATGAAGAGAGGCAAGTAAACTCCCTTGCTTTATTAGACACTGGTTGGCTGACTTGCCTGTGGCATGCACATAAGCAAGAAGATACAGAGGCAGAATAATCAAAAGGGTTGCTACAGCCCACTCCTGCTCTCACGTGAGACTGCACTCTGTCACTGACTTAATGTAAGGGCTGGATCATGGCCCTTGGTGTTTTACTGTTCATATTTATAATGTTTCCCT